AATTTTAATTTATATTAATTAATATTTGTAATATTTAAATTTTATTAATATTTAGTAGTACTGAATAATAATTAATGTTAACGAAAATTATAATTAGAAAAAGTGACAATAAGCTACCAAAATGTTATTCTAAATAAGGTTTCAATAAATTAGCTTGTGTACATCCAAACGTGTACCAAAAAATTATGATAACTTATTTTTGCCAAACAATGCTTAAACATTTTTTTTACTCCAACTTATATGTTATATCTTACGCTAGAAGAGAGAATGTGGAATTCTCCAAATTTAGAGGAAGAGAGAGAAATAACATTTTAATTTTCCTTGCCAATAAAAGACATTTAACTAAATATAAACGCATTGAATATTTTAATAATATAATTATTGTTAATAATTCATTTTAGAAAAATACAACATAACTATTGAAAATGCTCTTAAACGAATTTGGTTTTCTTTGTGGAATTTCGTTGGATTTATCGAGATTTTGCGTTTGTTTTAAATGAAAGTTCCAAATTGAAAACCTGGGATTTCAATCATTAACATGAGAATTAAAAATCTTATGGATGGTTGAGATTTATAGGATTTGTTTGTAATAATATTTTAAAATATATTTAAAATAAAATTCGTTTTTTTCAAGATAATTTCTTGTAAAAATCCCGAGTTAAAATTTAAATTTTTTGACAAATTATCTATACTATATTATAAAATATTTGACAAAAACTCTTAAAAACCATTGTTTATGCATAAAGTATTGTTTATTGATGCATATTACTTAAAATTCAAGATTACAAGTAATTGTGCGTAAGTACAACTTATTAAAGCTTCATGCTTGAATTCGTGTAACTAACTTCAGATAAACATCTAATTTTAAATATAAAAAATCTAAAATATAATTAGGATAATCATTGAGTTCTAACAAAATACTTAATTATTATCTTTATAAAATGTTATCTATACTACATTATAAAGCATTTGGTAAAAACTCTTAAAAACCACTTTTTATGCATAAGATAATGTTTATTAAAGCATGTTACTTAAAACTCAAGGTTACAAGTAGATTGTACGTAAGTACAGCTTATTAAAGCTTCATATCTGAATTCGTGTAACTAACTGCAGATAAACACAATCAAATACATGATAAATATCTCATTTTAAATATAAAAATCTAAAATATAATTAGGATAATCATTGAGTTCTAACA